CTGAGGCAAAAGTATCAACACGGTTCTTTTGAAGTAAAAGTATCTCCTACAGAAATGAAATAAGTGGTCCAGACATTGAGCCTTGCAGAACACCTGAGCCAGGCCTCCAACTAAGAACCTACAACACCCCCATCGGGGAACACATCATGTGACCTTTAAGAAGATACCTGTGAACTTCACCCTCCTGTACTTCCCCTGCAGATCTTCCCTCATCAGGGTCAGCAGTTGTTGAGTCCAGTCTCTCTTCAGTTTGTCCTCCAGCCACAAGGGAAGCTCCATCCGATCACAGGAGCCCTCTAAGGGAGACGGGATGATGTCATGATTGTATCTACTGAAGCGAGAGCTGACTTCATGTTCAGTGGAATGCAGGGGAACCAATGAAGAGCTGGCGTTACCTGCTGAGGAACCATTGAAGAGCCACCTGGCTGAGGAACCTGCTGAGGAACCCAAGTCCTGCTGGACCTTCTGGGGGCTGAACACCATGAAGTCTTGTCTCGTCCCACCGAACCTCAGGAAAGATGGCGTCAAAGCTTTAGCCAGGGTCCTGATCTTCGTAGAGCTGAGGACAAAACCACAAACTGTCTTCAACGACATACGTTTATGATGACCAGCTGATACAAGACATCAGACGGGTATGAGTATCACATTAATGTATAAATAGTAAAAATATAGTAAAAAAGTACAGAATGTAAAGTTATTTGTTCTGCATCAACACTTTAATTAATGAATAATCATAAGACATAAATATAATCAATAACAATTACTTAACAACACAATAATTACGTTTTTATTTCAATGGGAGGAAACCTCGTTATACTCACCTGAAGAAGTACATGAGGATTTAATCACCCTCATTTTAAAGTTCTCAATGAAAACATGAATCAGTTTCGCTCAGCTAATTTTCATATAAATAGAAACTTTGAGTGGATTCAGGATTTAAAAGTCAGTGCGGTTTAATCTGTAACAGGATCAGATTAAAGCCACAGAAACATCTGCTTTATTAAATAAAACCGCTGTATTACTAAATAAAAACATCTGCTTTAACATTAAATCAAATATTTCCTCAATTCATGTTCATTACAACCGTGTTTTCTTCTTAGATAAAACATCTGTCTCGTTGTCTGTTCCCGGGCCGACAAACACGCACCTCAGCAGGGACACGAACTTTTCCTCTGACGCCAGACTCGCGTCGATGGTGACGGACAGAAAGCGGGGGTCCACGCGGCGGACCACCGCGGACGGATCCACCTCCACCACCGAACAGTTCCGGTCCCGGTCCGCGAGGAGGAGCGCAGTGGTCTGGTCCCGGAGGAGGAGGACCAGAAGCAGCAGAGCGGCGGACTCCATGGACGCGGAAAGAAGCTCCGGCTCCCCGGCACTTCCTGTGTGGCTCCTCCCGCTGTGGCCGGAAAGCAGAGGCTCCTCCCCCGGCTGATAGGCTCCTCCCCCGGCTGAGAGCAGAGGCTCCTCCCCCGGCTGAGAGGCTCCTCCCCCGGCCCTCCTCAGGTTATAGTACTGCGACGCTGCATATCGCCATTCATTTGATCAGCTGTACAGGTTATGAATCAACTAATAAATTAAGTATTATTAAAGATAAAAGTACCTCCAGAATACCACGTCATATAATGAGCTGCGATTTCACATCATACTGAGTATTACGAGTACCTACATTACTTTGTTATGCAGGTGAATTTCACCGACACATCAAACATTAATCAGCAAATTCATCACACGTGGTTGTGTTTTGTATGAAATGTGAAGTTTAAATACATGTAGAGTCGTAATTGAATAAGAACTCAAATGTCTGTAAAACACTAAATATAGTATTGTAGTTTTAACGGTTGAATTTTCAATTATCTTCAGTGAAATAATAATAATAATAAGTAATTTTCAGAACGGTAACCCCTTAAATGATGGTTGTTTTTATTAAAAGTAAATAAAAGCATTTTGATTTATTCTCTGTAATCCAAATGTTACGTTTATATTATAATAGTTTAAGCACATTATTTGCTTATTATAATTATTACTCGTTAAATCCTTCATTTATGGACAAAACACAAACATGTTGGTTACTTGTTGTATATTATTTTAATCAAGTTTGTGTTTCAGAGAAATAAAAGCGGTAAAAAACAAACAAAGAGAATAAAACTTAATAATAAACGAGTTGTTACGGCTTCATCAGCAACTCGTCAACTTCTTCCTGAAGAGCTGCAGCTTTTTCATTCAGCAACATCTGGAACACAAACATCTGCTCATTAACATAACACGCGTGATGTCATCTGGAACATCTGCTCATTGACATAACGCGCGTGATGTCATCTGGAACATCTGCTCATTAACATAACACGCGTGATGTCATCCCTGCGAGGAGGACCACTCGCCTTGGCGGAGGCCACGATCTGATTGGCTCGTTTGGGGAAGAGGTTTTCTATGGCGTTGGAGAGAAGCGCCGGGTCGGCGTTGGCCAGCTGAGTCAGCGTTTGGTAGCCGGCGTTGTAGAGCTGCTTCGCTCTGGACTGACGAGGAAAAGACAAATAAAAGGTCTGATTCTCGTGAGCGGGGAGGTTTGAGCCACTGGACCAGTGGCGCCAAAACAACGAGCCTCTCATCTGTCAGGAGGAGGAAAGCGTCACAAGCATCCCGCACCTTCTTGGTCATTAGCCTACTGGAGTCAGCCTGGGTCACTTTGGAATGAATTTAAATACGTTAGCAAGAATCGCTAGTTAGCATTAGCATTAGTTTAGCTCATCTCTCGCGCATGCGTGACGTCATTTTTTTATTGATGGCACACGATCGACTGATCGATTGAGCACCCTGCACTAAAATACCTACAAATGAGTCATAGTTCATCTGCAGACCTTCGTCAGAGAGAGGACCTCCTCTTCATCGCACTTACCCAGAATCCTCTCTGACGCCAACAAACCACTAAAATGTGACTTTGATTCACGACAACAGAGGAAAGCTGGAGACCTCACAAGAAGCTAACACCATCAGAGGATCATGCAGAAGACGCTGGTAGTAGCCTCCATGTGGTTTGGTTCTAGCAGGCTTCGAGGAGCTCCACACTGACCTCCATCACTCCGGCCACCTCCATCAGCGGGATGAGCTCAGCCGTCACACAGTAGCTGAGCCTCCGGGTCAGCTCTGTCAGCAGAGCCCTGAACGGCCAGAACTCCTCCAGCTCCTGGTCACAGAGGAACAACCACGTATCACCCTCAGCCGACCTGAGACCAGCCCCAGGGGTCTTCTACCTGACTGAGATGTTACCTCGGTGAAGTGCAGCACGCAGGAGCAGAAGGCCGAAGAGGAGCCCAGTAAACTCTGGATGAAGCCTCGGCTCAGATGGAACCGCTCGGAGACGCTCCACAAGTTGGTCTCCTTGAGCAGAGAGAAGAGGACCAGAGCCAGATACATCCTACTCACCACCTCCATGTTGACAGGCTGAAACAGAAACAAGTGGTGTCACTGATCAGACCTGCTCTCCAGGTCTCACCTCCTGCTGAGCTCACTGGGAAACATTCTTCTTCTCACCTTTCTCACTGTTTGTCCTGCAGCTTTTCTGGCGATGAAGCTCTCTGGAACTCCGACGGCTGCAGACATCTTCTGTTCCGCATCCGTCAGCAGCGTGAACTGCACCAGGAAGATGGTGGGGTCAGGAGGCAGGGCTATGAGGTGGGTTCAGAAGGTGGAGTACCTGTCTGAAGAACACCATCCAGTCCGGCCTGCACTGTGTGATCATGTCGTATGGGGTGACCAGGTAGACCAGGTGGAGGCAGCTGTTGAGCAGAAGACCTTCCAGACCTTTGGAGAGGTCTTTGTAGAGGAGGTCACTGTAGGACAGGTCCACGGAGCCTGAGGGGTCAAACATCTGCATATGGAGGACTCACGGCGACAAACATCTGCACGAGGAGGCCTCACAATGACAAACATCTGCACGAGGAGGCCTCAACGGCAAACATCTGCACGAGGAGGCCTCACGACGACAGACATCTGCACGAGGAGGACTCACGACGACAGACATCTGCACGAGGAGGACTCACGACGACAGACATCTGCACGAGGAGGCCTCACGACGACAGACATCTGCACGAGGAGGCCTCACGACGACAGACATCTGCACGAGGAGGCCTCACGACGACAGACATCTGCACGAGGAGGCCTCACGACGGCAAACATCTGCACGAGGAGGCCTCACGACGGCAAACATCTGCACGAGGAGGCCTCACGACGGCAAACATCTGCACGAGGAGGCCTCACGACGGCAAACATCTGCACGAGGAGGCCTCACAACGGCAAACATCTGCACGAGGAGGACTCACAACGGCAAACATCTGCACGAGGAGGACTCACAACGGCAAACATCTGCACGAGGAGGACTCACACGGACAAACATCTGCACGAGGAGGACTCACACGGACAAACATCTGCCTGACAATCCATCCATCAGTCTGATTCAGATATAAGTATATTAATAAACAAGCACTACTGTCGGTCTGGAGCAGCGTTTTCTCACTTCCTGTCCCAGCAGCATTCAACTGAAGCTCCTCCCACAGGTCGACTCACCTTTGAAGGTTGCTCGTCCCAGTTTGGTGACCTGCAGCGTCTGAACGTGAGCCGTCTCCGTGACAAGATCTTTGTCCTTCAGGAGGTCGACGCACCGCTGCACCTCCTCCTTTAGGCTGGTCTCCGCACACAGCGCCTCCTGCTGGACGCACAGCAGCGTCGCGCACAGGAAGTCCATCACGCGACCCACCGACGAGCAGATCTGCAACGCACCACACATCCACATCAGCAGGACACGGGACAGGACAGGAGGAGACGGGACGGAGCAGGAGGAGGAGACGGGGCGCCTCACGTTGAGTCCGATGAGTGACAGGATGAGGCTCAGGAGGCCCCTCCTTCCATCACGCAGCAGGTTGCTGTAGCACTTCTCCATGGGAGCACAGACGAGGGTTTTAGCCTGAGAAGAGAACGTTCAGGTCAAAGGTCACAAAGAACTTTTGTCTTTTCACACAGAGCACTTCTCTCGCTATTTACACACAAGCAGTTACCGCGTCTCTGTCCGCGTCCTGCAGGATGAGGACGCTCTCCCCCACGGGGTCGATCCCGGCCCGACCGGCTCGGCCGACCATCTGTTTGTACTGGCTCCTCTTCAGGAAGTCTGAGGCCACGTAGGGCGAGCGGAGGATCACCCTGAGGAGAGTGTGACATCTCAGAGAGAACACCGAACCTCTATATTCTACTTAGAGGGAATCTGAAATGGAAACATTTTCTGCATCGGCGGGTCGTACGACTTTAGAGATTCATATAATTCAACATGTGGATGATTTCCACTGTCACGTGACCTCTTGATGAGTTTTAAATTTATATATATTATAAAACTTGTGATGAAGGTAAATATTTCTTTTTAAAAGGGTTAACGTCTTCAGCTGGAAGAGACGGCGTATCGAGAGACCGCGTTTAGGAACCCGTGAAGCTGAACTCTGGTACAGAGGGGAACCCGGGCACGTGGAGCAGCTTACCGGCGGGCTGGAAGGTTGACCCCTGCGGCCAGCGTGGAGGTGCAGGTGAGGAGACAGAGCACCCCGTTGGAGTAGGCCTCCTCCACCAGCTTCCTCTCCTCAGAGGTCAGCCCGCTGTGGTGATAGGCCAAACCGTACGGCACCGTCCTCCGGAGCACCGGACACGCCGAGCCGCTGCCGCTGGCCCTCAGCTCCCTGAGGAGGACGGCCTTCTCCGGCTGCCTGAGCGCCAGGAACTCCCTGTGGGGGGTAAACTCTTTAGGGGGCTGCACAGGCCTCTCTTGAGTGGGCCGGGTCGGTCACTCCTTCAGATTCTCACTTTTTGAGGTACTTGCAGATCATCCCCACCACGTTCTCACAGTTCTTCTTGGTGGGGCAGAAAACCAGACAGGAATGTGTTGGAATGACTTCAGTCACCAGAGCAATGATGTGATCCGGATCCACCTTCTGCATGGAGCTAGAGTACTAAGGGTCAAAGGTCAAATCAAAAGATGGATTATGTTTTTGGTTGTAGGTAGAAAAACAAAACCAAACGGCAACATGTTGAAACAAATGAAGTCACCTTAAAGTTGAGAAGACGTGAGAATTTAAAACATTCCTCCTCCGTTGGGTCGACCTCATAGATGGTGTCGGTCAGCTTCACGTACTCCTTCAGCTGCACCTGAACACATAACAGCACTAATACATCTCCACCTGGACACTACTGTACTACTATCCATCCTGGAGGCTTTAATGTCTCAGTGTCATGGATGGAAATGTGGTTTGAATCCCTCACAGGCCTGAAGTCGCTGGTGTAGTTCTCCGCCCTCAGGAAGGTCTGCAGGTCTTTGATGTTCCCCAGTGTGGCGCTCATCCCGATGACCTGAGTGCTTTCTGGAGAAGAATCCCGTGACTCAAAAGGTTTTAAGGTCTCACAGCCGAGGTGGATTGAGAAGTAGTGACTTACTGCTCGTGAAGAGAACTTTGGCTAAAGTCATTTCAATGATTGCTCCTCTGCTGCCGTCTCCCAGCATGTGGAGCTGTAAGACACACAAAGACATGAAGCCTCTCACCTCCACCTCCACCTCAACTCCCACCTGCGTTACTGCACCTCGTCCACCACCACCAGCCCGAGGTCCTCCATCCTGCCGGTCTCGATCAGGGAGTTGACGAGGCTGTGGGCCTTTTCTATCGTGGCAATGTACACGGATCTGTTGTTCCTCCTCTTCACGGGAGGGAACCTCCCTTTGCTGCCCGCGTACTCCTCCACCAGGAAGTCCAGTTCCAGACCGAAGCTCGCTAACCCACGTACCTGCAGGGCAAAACACAGGTTCAGGTCACAAGGGTTTCCCCACAAGGCTCGATTCTGGGTCCTCCACCATTCACTAGAAGAACAAATTATGTCACTATCTCAATGATCTCCTTCTCCGTCTGCTGACTCGCCTCCAGCCAGAGGAGGCATCGTGCTAACTAGTCAATTCTTGTATCATTTGAGGTCCCATGAACCATGAATTGGCAACGGCTCCTCCAGCCCCGCTTCACACCCGGCCCGACCGACCGACCGAGCCAGCCCAAGTTAGGGATCTGATGGGGCGACTTCCCTTACTTACCGTGATCCAACATGCCAGAGGCTGTAAGGTGAAGGAAGGAGAAGGTGTCCTGAATCTAATCAAACATCTGCTGTAAGCACCGCGAGGTTTCCTTTAGGTCTGGGACCTCCTTGCCTGTCTCCAACTCTTTAGCATAACAAAACCAATCTCTGTATAACGGCGCCTGCCACTGCCTGTGCATGTATAGCTGGTGCACACGGAAAATACAACTTTGATTGACTTCATAAGAGATTCCCGATTGGATGAGAAAAGCTCGTCTGTCGCTACCTTCTCCTGCACCAACGATATGTACGGGAGGATGAAGAGGCAGTCCTTCCTCCTGCACAGCAGCTCTCTGAGGACCAGGATCTCTGCGACCAGGGTCTTCCCCCCACTGGTGGGCAGCGAGTAGATGAGGTTCTTCCTCCGCTGCACACAGTCCAGGTTCAGACACGTCCGCTGCCAGTCTGAAACATCACGGGAGCGTTAGCTGTTAGCTTAGCACAAAGAACGGAAACAACTTCCACCCATCCGCTCCTCTGAAGCGGACCGATCAGCAGGTCAAATCTGGTTTCTTTAATGTGGATAAAGTGTTTAAAACGACATGTTTCTCCCAAAATCTAAATGACTACGGGCATTTTTGAGCTTTTGCTCTGAATATTAGTGGAGTTTTTTTTAAAACTTTAATAGAACTAATAAAAAGTATCTAAAGATGAATTAATAATGAAAAAATAGTTAATTCTGGAACTAACCAGTTATTTTCACCATTGAAGTTCTAGTCAAATGCATATCAGAAAATAGGCCATTAAATGTTTGCTACACCCCAAAGAGACGTCTTGTTTTTTACCAAAGCTGGACACATTTACCTCATCGTGTCAGAGAGAAGCGTCACATTAGAGAAGCTTTGAGCTTAGAAGATGATCACTGCTTGTTTTAAACAAACCGTATAAATCCTGGATTCCTCTCAGTTTGAACATCAGCTCCTTCACTCTGGTGGGGAGTCCGAAGAAGGGCCCGAGGTCGGGGGTCTCGGCACAGACGGTGTCCATGGCCCGCATGGCGACGCTGATCTCCTCAGAGACCACCGCTTCCTTCAGCATGGCGCTGCGTGACACGCTGGAGGGAGCCGCTGCGTTGCAGAGCATCGCCCTCTTCATCCGATCTGCCACGCTTCTCCTCTTCCTCGTGTCCCCAGCGTCTCCGAGAGGAGACAAGGCTCCGTCCTGCGGGCAGCTCCTCTTCGGGGGCCTGTCGACTTGCTCCTCAAACAGACGCTGGCTGGTTGGTAAGTCTTCATCCCCAAGGACGTCCAGGATGGAGTCCGTGAGGACGTCTTCGCCCAGCTCCTTGTGTCTCAGGGCGGTGAACTCAAACTGCTCCGCATGGTCCAGCTTCTCCAGCAGAGAGCTGTCCTCCAGGAGGCTGTCGTAGTCCCCAAACAAGTCCTCGCTGTCACTGCAGAACTGTCAACACAACACAGCTGTTGACCTACCGCCCTGTGACCAATGGATCAGCAAAGACTAGCCGATTGATCCACTAGATTAAGGACAGGAGACGAGCTTCAAGCTCCTTCAAAACCACCAACAGCTGATAAAGAGCTTCTGGACTGTTTGAAGACTCAACTTATTTTAATGATCTAAATCAGCCGTATATGTCCTTTTGGTGAATAGATTGTAGGAAGATAATTCAACATGCCCATCACAGTCTTACAAAAGACAAAAATGAACAAATAAAATGTCCTCTTTCTTTTGTAAAACTTTCAAAAACAGAAGAGATTCATGTTATTCTCAAAAAATAAAACCTTCACATATTCTCGTCTAAATGGAATTTCGGCTGAACAAACAACGATTGGTGGATTGTTTTCTGTCTACTGGCACGAAAACTTTAAGCTCATCATCAATAACTTGTACCTCAGCAGCCGCTCCATCAGCCACGATGCTCCCGAGCCTCCGGGCTCTGGGACGCGGCTGTGAGCAGGTAGCTCCGCCCCTCTTCCCGACAGGTGTCAGGTGAGTCCTCAGGTCCCTGGAGCGCTTTCTCGAGGATACTCTCTTGATTTGGAGTCCCTGTTTCCCAGCAGCGTTCATCACTGCTTCAGCTAACACACAGCCTGATGCTACATCTCACGCCAGTTTATCCACCAACTAGATAACGTTAAAATGAATAAACCACGACTAGTTAACCTAACTAACTCCCAAAACAACCTCAAAGTACCTTAACTGCAGCGCCCTCGTTAGCTAACGTTAGCTTAACTTTAGCTCACACATTAGCTTAATGTTACCCATGAAAGTTATAGCGGGCTATTTTTTCACTAGAAGCACCGCTAAATTAATCTGAAACAAACGTAAAAACACATAGGGTCGCAAAACCAAAGTTAATAAATAAATTAGCATTCGTAAAGCTTAGTTTGTTTTAACGTTAAAGGCTCAAAAGCTCCGCGAGCGTCATATTCAAAAGCACCCCGGCATCTTCGGAGCAAGAGCGAAACCCGCCCTCGCTTCCGTCTTCGCTTTACCGGGTCCCTCGCGAGCGTAGCGAACCGAGCCGCTTTCTGTAAGGCACAGGTGTATTCGGCGCCATAATCTTCGTTATAAAGAGGTAGAAAGTAATTTGCACTCCTACGTCATTGTAAACATGATCAACATCATTACTGTGTTGATTAAAATAACAAGTTGTGTTCCTGTGACCCACTCCCTTATTTGGGGGCTTAATCTCGTCCCAGTGTATCTTTTGGGGGGATAACGCTTCGTCTTTAATCTAACGTTGTATTAGAAAAATATCAAATCTATAGGTACACAGATAATCGTGGATACCAAATGAATGAAGACAACATTTACTAATACAGCAACATTTCGTGATTAGTAGTAGGAACTAACAGTCAGAGAACATTGCGACGCACCGGACATATTGGTGGACAACTTCCGGTCCTGTGTCAGGTCAAGATGCTTGCTTTCAGAGGGTTGAAGAGGATACATTCTGTTTTGTTACAACATGGAAACACAAGTAAGACTTTATTATTATTTGTGAATATGTGTGAGACTTTATGACGTCATCACAAACTATCGTTCTCGTAAGTGCTTTAATTTAATTATACGTTTGAGTCAGTGAGTTACAGATTCTGATGCTAGGGCTAACGTTAGCATATAAAACCATTCCTGCAGGAAGCCTGACCGTGACGTCACATGTGGTCCAACACAAAGATGACACGGTAAGTGTATATGAATAATATAATGAAGTAAAACCAATAAACCAAACCATATCAATAATTTATTTGAACATCTAATGAATTCCGAATGTTTTTATATTTAATATAAGACACAAAATAAAATATAATATTAAATGTTTTATTACATTTGTCATGATTTATAATCCAACCGTTATTATCTCACTGTTATATTACTAAATAGTATTGTAGTTGTAGCAATGTCAGTAATAACTAGGCTAACCTGACTCAGTATTATCATTAATATTTACCTTCATGTAGAAGCTATTGAAGATGGAGAACCCGTACAAAGAGCCCCAGACAGGTTGTCTCCTCTGCAACGTCACAGTGGACTTCAAGAACACTCAGGTGAGACACACCTGAAGTTCTGAGGGGAGGAACATACGTTTTTCATGTTTACAGAATGGAAGCTGTGACTTGGATATGTTTGTATGTTACGTTTATAGCTGTATGAAGCGTTTACATCTATTCACACTGGACCTCCTCGTCCCCTCACAGCTGCTGTCTCAGTTCGTCTCTCCTCACACGGGCAGAACCTACGGCCGACACATCACAGGTGAGCGGCTCGCTGTGTGGGCGGATCCCAACTCGTCTGCAGGTGAGCTCATGGCGTCCGCGTCTGTTTTTCAGGGTTATGTGGACGGAAACAGAAGGAAGTGTCGAAGGCCATAAAGAAAGCTCACTCCATGGGTATGTCCAATATTAATAAACATCATTGTGATACATGTAACGATCTGCCCCTCTTTGGAAACCTTCATAAAACTAGAACTCAAAGACGCGTCAACGGCTCCTCTGATCACTCATCAAAAATGAGGGAGGTTCAACTTCTTTGATCATTTATTTTACAAACATAACCTTTATATCAAGAGTTTATGTTCACTTTCTGATTTATGGTCACATGACTGTCTCTAATAATTCAATGATGACATCGTTGTTTCACTGAGCTCAGAACTTATGTTTTTAACAGAAATATCACAATTAAGTTTGGTTTTGGTCACATATGATGCTTTCAAGGAGCATCGAAGTGAGTTTTGGTGATAACAAAAAAATAAAAATTGCTTCGTTACATCCGGACAGCCTTTCTCGGGGCGTTCGTTATATACGCTGCCCTGCGTACGTATTCACCCCATTTTGTCTGTACGTTGAGGCTCATTGTCCTGCTTGAAAACGAAGCTCGGCCCCGTCTCAAGTCTTCATGTTCTCTTCAAGCATTGTCCTGTATTTGGCTGCGTCCATCTTTCCCTCATTGGGACTCGTTTCCTGCTGAAGAGAAGCATGATGCTGGTGTTGACTTTCCTCCAGACAGCGTTTTGCATCGAGGCAGAGAAGTTCCACTCTGGTCTCCTCTGAGCAGAGTACCTTCTCCCACACGGGATTCATACTCCGCTACAACTTCCTCCCCGAGCTCCATGATGCTCTCAAACACAGAGCACGTGTTTTTATCCTGAGGTTAAAGAGCATCTGCTGATTATGTGACTTGAGGACGGTTGGTGGCACCAGACCTTTTCACAGTAATGGGGATGAAAACAAATGCATTCAACACTTCCATGTAAACTTTCCCCTATGGACTCTTTTTGTTGGTCCATTACCAGGATTCAATTTAAATCCAACAAAAAGTCCATGGGGGGTGAATACTTACGCAAGGCCCCGTAAATATATGTAGTTTAATAAAAAGCTGATTTGTATGTAACAACTAGAGCAATGTCCCTAAACTGAACTTTTCTTTCCAGGATTCATGTCTGTGACCCACAAACATCCTCAGTTCATGAAGGATCCCAACATCTGTGGAATCAAACATCTGGATTAGGGTTGTTTATTAAAGCTGTCAGAACTCTCTGAAGGTCTCTGCTTCTTATGTTACACATTCACATGAATATGTTCAGGTTGTACTTTAGTATTTAGTGATAACTATGACGGTTTAACATTTGCACGTCAACTTGTTGTCATAGTAACCGAAAGCTCAACTCCACTTGAGTAAAATCGTCTTCAACGGAAAGAATTGTTCTTTATTCTGAAGGCTCGCTCTTCCTGTCCCGCCCCCCCGGCGTTTCCTTCAGTCTCTTCCGACGGGGCGGAGGCGGCGCTTCTGGAGCCGTTGTCATGGAGATGGCGTCGGGAACAGGAAGGGCCACCAGAGTCAGAGTGTGGGTGTGAAACACAGGAGAACAGAACACAGACCTGAAGGCCTGATGGAGGACCTGGTCCCTCTGGACCACCGGACCACCTGCAGACAGACCAATGTCAAGTTCGTTTATAAAGCACTCTTAAAGGCCAGTGGCCATCAGCAGTAATAAACAATACGAGCAAAAGTAAAACAACAAACAGGCAAAAACAAACAAATAAAAGATCCAATACAGGTGACTTAACTCAGCCAGAGGTAAACAAGTGGGTCTTAAGGCGAGTTTTAAGTAGAAAGCTCGTCGCAGACCGCACAGAAAACAGCAAAGCGTTCCACAGTCTGGGAGCCGCTACTGCGAGAACCAGCGGGTCAGCTGACCTCAGGGCTCTGGAGGGTTGATGCACATTAATGAGGCTGGATAAATATTCTGGGACCAGTCCATGCAGAGACTTAAAAACAAATAAAAGATCCTTAAAATCTATTCTGGACCTAACGGGACGCCAGTGGAGAGGAAAGCACTGGCGTTATGTGCCCGTGTTTCTTTGTCCCGTCAGGAGACGGGCTGCTGCAGACGGTTGAGTTCTGATCGGCCGATACCGACATACAGGGACTTGCAATAGTCCAAGCGTGAAGATATAAAAGCATGCATGACTTCAAGGTCAGCCCTGTTTAGATCGGGTTGGACTTTGGCTAGAAGCCGAAGCTGGAAGAAGCTAGCCTCAACCACAGAGCGGACCTGCTGGTCCAATTTAAAGGCCCCATCAATAATCACACCAAGGCTTCTGGCCTGGGAGCCTGTGTAAGGTGCTAGTGGGCCAAGGGACCTGGCAAGGACCTGGACCAAGTCAGGGCGACCAAACAGCACGATCTCTGTTTTTTCATTTACTTTTAAGAAGTTCAGGTGCATCCATGTTTTAATGTCCGTCATGCAATCAAACACAGCATGAAGGGGCCTTTAATGCACATCATCAGCAAAGCAATGAAAACCAGACAACCAAGACTAGACCTGATTGATTTATTATTAATGGTACTTAATATAACTACAATTATTTAACATACGATTCATCATTCAATTGTTTAATAGTGAAATAAATGAACTAAAGTTGATTCAACTATTTATTAATAATGGTTCAATTGATGGATTACGAATATTTAATGAAATTCAAACCTTCACTTTTCTTCTCACGTATTTTCCTCCTGAGAGTCAAAACGTCATTTTGGAGTGATTCCACCAGACGTTCACTCTCCTCCAACTTCCTGCAGGCTCTCTGTCAGAACAAACAGAAGAAGAGGAGGAGGGAGACAAACAGGAAGTCACAACAGAAGAAGAAGAAGAGGAGGGAGACAAACAGGAAGTCACAACAGAAGAAGATGATGATGAGGAGGGAGACAAACCAACAGAAGAACTGAAGGAAGAAGAAGAGGAGGGAGACAAACAGGAAGTCACAACAGAAGAAGAAGAAGAGGAGGGAGTCACAACAGAAGAAGAAGAAGAAGAAGAAGAGGGAGTCACAACAGAAGAAGAAGAAGAGGAGGGAGACAAACAGGAAGTCACAACAGAAGAAGAAGAAGAGTAGGGAGTCACAACAGAAGAAGAAGAAGAAGAAGAAGAGGGAGTCACAACGAAGAAGAAGAAGAAGAAGAGGAGGGAGTCACAACAGAAGAAGAAGAAGAAGAAGAAGAGGAGGGAGTCACAACAGAAGAAGGAGGAGGAGGAGCGGGTCAGTAGTCAGCAGACAGTTGGAACAGAGAAAAGAAAAGGGCGAGTTAGACCACAGAAGAAGAGTGAGGCGCTCACCTGCAGCTCCTCCTGCACAGCATCGCTCATGGCGTTCACGTCGTTCACGTCCCTCAGCAGTCCGTTGGAGGAGAAGAAGTTGGAGCTGGAGCAACAGAAGGAAAAAGGCTTCTTCTTTAGTGGTTACTGGTTTGGCCAATCGGCTCAGAGGAGCAGTGGCCACACCCAACGGACTGGAAGCTCCACCCTCATCTGCGTGGAGGCATCTAGTGGCCACAGCTGACGCTGAAGATCACACTGGAAACCGGAGCACCTGAACGCACCGCAAAGAGGAGCCTACCTGTAGCGGCTGGTGGCGAGCCGGTACCCCCCCGCCGAGCAGGGCGCCGAGGCCTTCCAGTAGGCCGGACTCTCCAGGAGGCCGAGGTTACTGACCAGCACGGGGATGTTGACGAAGAGCCTTCAGTGAACAGCAGCCTCATTAAAATGTATTTTACAACTATATCATAACCTTGTTGTCATGACAACAAGTAAAATAATACGCCAGAGCGGCCATTTTTTTTGACATTTCAATGTTTCATGATAAACCCTTTAAATAAAGACACCAGGGCCCCGTTCCTCGTACGTGGCTAACTGAGTTAGGATAAGATGACGTAGATCAGCTTTACGGTTTAAACCATAGCAACACATCAAAAAGCTTGAGCCTGTCCCACACTCTGTCCCACACACTGTCCCACAACACTGTCCCACACACTGTCCCACACACTGTCCCACAGTCTGTCCCACACACTGTCCCACACACTGTCCCACACTCTGTCCCACACTCTGTCCCACACTCTGTCCCACACACTGTCCCACACACTGTCCCACACTCTGTCCCACACTCTGTCCCACACTCTGTCCCACACTCTGTCCCACACTCTGTCCCACACACTGTCTCTCACACTGTCTCTCACACTGTCCACGTTTGTACAGTGTTGCGATGCAGAGAACATCTGGAAAGCCGCTGCACGTCGGGCTCTTCGTAAAGTTCTGTTGGTTTATTTGATCTCTTTATAAACTTCTAGATGTTCCATGTTTCACTGCTTCAATTGATCAAATGTCAGATTATGAATAATAGATACATACCGTATATTCTGGACTATAGAGCGCACCTGAATATAAGCCGCACCACCTAAATTTAGAACAAAAAAAAGGTGAACATATAAGCCGCCTGTGTCCACGCTTCTCGTGGACGACCTTCTCTCTGTGTCCACGCCAGTGACGTGTGGTCACTGGAGGCGGGGAAATGTGAAAAAATAATGATTAAAAAATATATACGGTACACATATATATACATTTGTCCACTGATCTGTAATAGAAGTGTATGTATTAGATTCCAATCAATTCGATGATTTTTATAGTCAAAATTGGAGGCAGCGACGAGCTGCGCCTCCTCTCGCATTGCGCAATCCCTCATAACCCGGCTGAGCTGCTCAGCACGTGTAATTAATGCGTCTGTATGTCTCCCACGTAACGTCTGTACACTGTTACCACGCAGTCCGGCTCCTGTGTCTCACCGCGTTGGACTTCATCTGACGTGAAGGCGCAGTAACAAGGAGGCAGCTGGACTGGAGCCTCCTGCTCGTCACCGCTGGGAGGCGGAGTCAGTTCCTCTGCCCGCCTGAAGGGGGCGTGGTGAGCACACGGGCTCCTTCTGCTGTGGCTTTTCTTCACTGATGGCTAGCACATGCTAACTATGCTAACAGTCAAGTGCACATTATCAGTCGTTGAAAAGTGGAAACATCCAGACTGAATCGGACCAAAGACGACTTTCACCCCGAGAAATAACGTCTATTGAGACAAAGAGACGGTTGGAACTAAAAGAAGATAAAGAGACTTTTACACCAAAGTCAGATGTTTGTAAAGTAAAGATCCTGCACACACTGCTGCACACGACACAAATAAAAGACCAGCTCTATTTTTAATAATTAACCAATATAAAAGAGCATTTAAGCAATAAGGTGCGAGAGGCTGATGACATCTGGTTCAAACTAACGAGGTTCGGCCTTTGAGGAACCGAGATGTCAATCATCCTGTCAATTTGATCGACTTAGTTGAACCACGTACGAGGAATAGTGGATTCCGATGTTTCATTTGTCTTATTTTCTGTTTAAAATGAAGTAAAGGAAAAGCTCTTGTTTACCTGCTGCGGGACGTGAAGGCGGCGTACTCCATCTTGTGGGTGGAGCCTGTGGGAGTGGACCTGCTGGGTGTCAGCAGCACAAAGATCATGTGAGGGTTGCACAGAGACGTCTTGAGCTTCTCGTGGACGACCTTCTCTCTGAAGGTCATCTGTTGCTCAGAGTTTCTGCGCTGTCTGTACCAGCCAATCACGTCCTCCTGGAAGGTGGTCGATGCGCGGCGTCACCAACCCACCATACGCGTGTACGAAGAGGATGACACATAATAATGTTACAGAAATGAACAAAATGATCATTGAGCTGAAATTCATATTCAAATAACTCAAAAACATCTTGGTGCCTGACGAAGAGGTGATCATATCGCCATGGCGACTGAGAAACACACGGACCTCCTTGTTGTCGGCCAGGATTTTCTTCACGGCGTCAATGTTCACGTCTCCAACAGCATCGTAGAATCTGCAAACACAGAGGTCCCGACATGCAATACAAGTATATAAATATGTGTGTGTGTCTGTATATAAATATATATACAGACACACAACACTGCTGGAACTTATATTATTACATATTTAATGTGGTTTAAATCTCCAGTATTCACTCGTTTAGTTTGAGGCAGCTGATGTGCTTCTGGATATCTGTTGAGAAAATGACAAATACATTAGACTCTCTACATATATATGACTTAACTGACTATAATTTAATATTTAAATACCTTTATATATAGATACATGACTCACTCAATGTGTGTGTGTGTGTACTCACTGTAGACCTCCTCGATGTGGATGTTGTCAGCCTGAGAGTCACTGATGGTGATTTGCTCTTCAAACTTACTTTCTCCGAGGATCAAACCTTCCTGAAATAAAACAGAATTCTTAGCGGCGTACGGATTATTGCTTTTCCTTTGTGATTAATCATCATTATACAGTTTACAGATGGGAATGACATCCAGCAAAAGATACGCTCACAGATCAGGTTTATTATTTTAAATAAATAGTGTTTCACATAATAAAATAATAAGTCAATGCCTGATTACCTGATTAATCAACAGAAAAATGTATTTTCAATTCATTTTCAGTCGATATGTTCAGTGATTGCAGTTACTCAGTAAATATTTGTGAGTTTCGGTTGAATTATTATTACACATATTTGAATAAAACGGCCTCCAGCTGTTCAAAACGGAGACAGTTTGATAATTTGACATTGATAGTAAACATAAGCAGTAGATGCAGATATCTGTAACGTCCTGACTTTACTGTGTTAAAGGCGACGGTCCATTGACCAAACGGACTCTTTTACGCGGCGCGTCCCGGCGGTTCCTCCACGGCTCGGCTCGTTGTGTCCACGTTTGACTCGTGGGTCTATTGCTTGTTGGATTTTACATTCTGCCGAATTCAGCGGACACAAGTGACTTCTGAAATGCGTTCAGTCGCGTCTCACAGGCGGTGCTCGCTGCCCAGTGACCAGTGTCCCGCGGAATGGGAGCGTTTCTAAACGGAGTCCGGCGGGACTCCGTAAAGTTGCAGAAATGGCGCGGCGGGACTTTTGTCTTCACTCGTTCAACCGACGGACTGAAGCTTCGCGCCACAATAACAAGCGCGCTGCTGGTTTCTCACCACGTCGGAATCCCCGTTGACGTGCTGGAACACGAGCGAAGACAACACGATCCCGCTCACGCGCACGGTGGGCTCCGCCATGTTGCTCGATGGCGACACGGCGCCTCGCGAGCGTCACTCAAGCGCACCGCAAACGCAGGAAAAACGCGCCTGCGTTTCGCCAACGCAACGCGTCGCGCTGACGGAGGGGCGCTTGACCTTTAACATTATTAAGGTCTCAGGTCTTTTATTACTACATTTGGGAGGGATCTGATTAATTAGGGAGGAGCAGGGTATGAAATAAAAAACATGTCATTCCTATTGCCACTAGGTGGCGCTATGACTGGGAATGATCATATGGCTGTCTACAGGGTAAGGATGTCATGGCACATTAGGAGCAGATTAGATCATTTATGGCGAGTTACCACCATTTTCAATGTTTTGCCAAAGCACAATGGCCACATATTTTCAAGCGTTATGCAATTTTGAACAGCGAAGTCTCAAGATCACACGACCCAAATTTGATACGAATCTGGTTTAATCTCTTTAACAACTCGAAAAAACAATGAAAATGGGCAAAAATGCAGATATTTAACAATTAACTGCTGCGCCCCTAGTCTTCAAATATTATATGAAATCAGGGTGGGTTTAGGGGGGCAATATATACACATGCTACAGATTTGGTAAGGGCACGCAAAGTCATTTAGAAGTTATGAGTCTTGACCTATTAGGCCACAGCCCTTAGAAGTTCATTGGTCCAAACCTTCTCAAAACCTTGTGTTTTTTCTGATGAAATTGAACCAATAAAGATCCGCAAAGAATTCTATAAGAATTGGACTCGGCGTTTGGGAGGAGTACGCAAAAATGTGTTGTTGACCAAATTCTAAATGGCAGAAAATCTAATTTGGCGCATTTAAATATCGTGATTGACTTTTTTGTAGCGCGTACCCAGGAGCACAAGTGGGCCAAATTTCAAGTCAATTGGGCACCGGGGTAAAACACTGGGTTTATGTGGTACATTTCAAATTCAGAGCTATAGAGACATTTCTTTATACCCGAATGTGACACCCCAAAAATATCACATTTTCCACCAGTCCTGATCTTCATGTCAAATGTAAAGACTTTTTGGATATAATAAATCCTCCAAAAAGGAAAAATTCCTTGGAAAGAATAATACGAATTCTTTGAAATACAATAGGTTCCCCAAATTCCTTAGACAGAGTAATAATAATTCTCTCCGATACAATCGGTTCCTCTCCGACTAGTCGTAGCGAGGAACCAAAAAATACAAATTTAAATAAATGTATGAATACAAATATTTTAAAAGGAATTAAATGGATATAAAATAGTTTCTTCATCTTTCAAATATTAAGCGACAGTGGCTCGGACGTCTCAGGGACACAGTGGTGGTGACATTTATTGTTTCCGTTCTCCACCATGGAAATAAATAAGCACGCTTTCTGCTCTTTATGTGGTTCATGGAGAACATCAGATGTGAAGGTGATGAGAACCGGTGTCCTGATGAGAGGCAGATCAGCCCTCACTTATCTGTACTTTTACTTTCTACCTTTTTCTCATTACTGTAATTCTGTAAATTACTACAGACGATTGAACCAAACTGCTCATTTTTATTTACCTTAAAGAATTGTTATGTTCTAAAAATGTAATAAATCATGTGAAGGAATGTGACTCTTTTCTTTGAAGACAATCTTACTTTGTATGACGTCACTGAAACGGTTCAAAGTGTGAAGATGAACAGTGAGTATTTGTGTGTTTGTACTCTCAGTGTGTCCTGAGTGACAGTGTGTGTGTGAGTGACAGTGTGTGTTGTGACAGTGTGTGTTGTGAGTGACAGTGTGTGTTGTGAGTGACAGTGTGTGTTGTGAGTGACAGTGTGTGTTGTGAGTGACAGTGTGTGTTGTGAGTGACAGTGTGTGTTGTGAGTGACAGTGTGTGTTGTGACAGTGTGTGTTGTGACAGTGTGTGTTGTGAGTGACAGTGTGTGTTGTGACAGTGTGTGTTGTCACAGTGTGTGTTGTGACAGTGTGTGTTGTGACAGTGTGTGTTGTGACAGTGTGTGTTGTGACAGTGTGTGTTGTCACAGTGTGTGTTGTGACAGTGTGTGTTGTGACAGTGTGTGTTGTCACAGTGTGTGTTGTGACAGTGTGTGTTGTCACAGTGTGTGTTGTGACAGTGTGTGTTGTGACAGTGTGTGTTGTCACAGTGTGTGTTGTGAGTTGTGCAGGTGAGGCGACTGTTGCTGCTGCAGTCAGTTTTAGACGTTCAGCAATGGGAATAAACTCTTAACAACAGATGCCACTGTTGAGCGTTGCGGATTTGGCTGCACTCTCAGACAGCCTCTCATTGAGAGACCACGATTTATATATATATATATATATATATTTATATATACCTGATCAATAATCTCATCTGAGACGACAGCTCTTGATCTTCCTCTTGTTCTTCTTTTCTTCGTCCCTCCCAGCCGCTCGTCTTCCTCTTTCAGCCACTTCTCTCTGGCTGCGTCCATGTTTACGTCACAGTACAGAATTATTCAGCAGTCGTCTCCTTTTGTAATGAAATTGAAAGAGTAACACGTGTGTAGATGTTCATCTACTATGAGAATCCGCTGTGGTTGCTCCAATTGTTTTTATAGCATTTCATTTTAAGATTTAAAATATATTTCATTACAATATTACTGTGGAATTGTAGCAAATTGCTGTCTTATTCGGTTTTGTATCATGTTATTGTTTTGGACATAAGTTTAAGTGTTGAAAACATGTACGCGTGTGCAAAGTGGCTGAAGGTACTCAGAGTTTTGTCTGAGTGAGAAACGAAATGATGTAATTAGAAAGATGAAGTCATTGAATCCATTTTGTGCCAAAGCAACAATCATTGATGCTCAGTTAAGCTCACATGTACTTGTGGTCACCACGTGAAGAGGTTTGAAAAGTGATCTAAGTATTGAGAAATGTGTCCTAGCGACTGTAAAAACTGTAATTATCACCGACCACTTTCACATTTCTCCTGTGGATTAGACCCCTGGAGGTCTGAGGGGTCCTCCAGAGGTCCATGGTCCAGAGGTTGCTGAAGACCACCACACGGATTGATCTTTAACAAACGCGTGAATGAAAGGAGGCAGAATTCAGACGTGTTATTGATGAGATGTATTACGTCACATGAAGTTCTAAACCATCTTTATATCATATTAATGGCCACTGTGGGACCAACGTTCCACTGGAGGATCCTTCAATCTCACCTCGCAGCAAAGACACAACTTTAAAATATAAGAAAATAGTTCTTGAAGGTCCGAGTGTGCTGAAGATCACCACGACGGTGATGATGATGATGATGATGATGACGATGTCTTCATGGTTCGTTGTTTGTTAACTTCTGTCTGTGGTTGTAACAGGAACCTGCGTCAACACGTCCGTCACCATCAAGGTGACACTAAAGAACCAGATCGTTAGAGGACAGAGAACCTGAGCAGGCTTCCTCATCTTCGTCATCCTTATCTTCTTCTTCATCCTCATCATCATGTCTTTTGTCTTCTTCTTTGTCCCTGGACAGGAAGCCCCCAGCAGGAGGTGCTGCAACACAAGAACGGGCTCTTACACGGAACGCTGTGATGATGAAATGTACTTAGTTGTTAATGTAATAATCCTCATAAATATCATTGTTCTCATCGTTCCTATCATTAATGTTAGTATTGTTGTTGTTGTTGTTGTTTTTAGTGTGAGGTCACAGGCACATTTAAGTGTACGTGGCTGCTTTTCTTTGATCTTTGAACAGACATTTTATTGATTGTAAAATTCATGTTTTATTTATGATTCTTTTTGAAATACTTAATAATAATTTCAGCTGCTTTTGTCATATCGAGCCAATAAATCATATCAATTAATCATTCAAACTTATGTTTACTTCACCGCCGCTGGTTTCTCATTCTTATATATTTAGACGGTTGTGGTTTGACAGATAGGTCAAAGGTTGCCATGGTTACATTGAGGAGGAGGACCTGAAGGCTTTATTGTGTTTTAAATAGAAACATAAATGATAATTGTGTTAATCACATCTTGTGTTATTATTTCTATTTTAATAATACATTTAGAAAATATGTATTTTTAAAATGAGAAAAAATATATATCATATATAAAATATAAGATATATTTCAACAGTTAATATGATTTAAATCTATGTTTTCCAAGCTGAGGGTGGGGGCCCGTCTGAGGGTCGCAAGAGGAGTCATAAAAACACCAACGTGTAAATATTAGTAGTAATGCCGATTACATCATAGGGTCAACGAGCACACACACACACACACACACACACACACACACACACACACACACACACACGCACACACACACACACACATCATGTTACATCATTAATGTCTGACTGAAGAAGAAGAAGCAGAAGAAAGGGTCTATTGGTTCTCTGTCAGAAACATTCATTTATTGTCTGTTCATCTAAATAAAATGAGGTTGTTGAGGTTATAAATATAATAAACACAGTTTATAACACACCAGTGATCAATCAGCTGTTTGATAATCAATTAAAGAATGAATTTGGACGGAAGGTTTTCCATCCAAATAGTCTCAAGAAGAAGCAGAAAAGCAAAACCAGTAACACAAATGAACCATAGGACCTGGATATGAATAACTAATAATAATAATAATTATAGTAATAGTAATTCAGACTTGACACTGAAGCTTAACAGAATAAAACACTATAACTCATAATTAACATTTAAGTATTTGGGGATTATTATAATGCTGTCTTTTAAAGGTTTATCAATGAATTGTTTTTCTTATGGACAGTTATCTTATTTGATTTCATTATACTGAATCAGGTTTTCTTTTTCCTGTCTGTTTTCATTTCGATCCAAACAAATAAAAAACGGAAACAGCTGGAATCTCTTTCTTTTAATAAATATGTTTTAATATTTGTTGTTTTTGTATTTAACTTGTATTTAAAAATTGCTTAAACTGATATTATATATTAATATATTATATTAATGTAACATTTTAGAAATGTTGAAACATATTGTTAATTAATGAAGGAACAAGGATGGAGGAAGAGGATGCAAGTGAATGGCTCAGAGTGACGGAGGAAGAGGAGAGGAAGAAGAGGATGGAGGTCCAGGCCAGATGTGTTTACTGCTGC